CCTATCTTTTTGCTTTAATTTGGCCATGAGGGTGTTCAAAATTGAATTTTGAATGAATGAATTTTTTCTTACCTCTTTTGGCAGTCGGAAGTGGCTCCGGTGTAGCGGTAGGCGGCGATCGACTCCTTTTCAAGTGACTGGCTCTTCTTCTTCGGTGAGAGTTCTGGCAGCTACGGTTAGGGTTTGGTGTGTAAAGGGTTATTTATATCTATCTCCTTTTAATCTGGGTCATCAATCGCGTTTAATCTGGACCATCCAATCGCATTCAAATAGAGAGTGAATTTGGACCGTTCATCGCTATTTGATCTGGGTCGTCCAATCACGTTTAAAGGAAGAACGGATCTAGACCGTCCATGCGTGCGGGAACAAATTCGGACCGTCCAATCGCAGGCACGTAGATCGCCAGTGTGGTCTCCCATATGGTACTGTGTCTGTGTGCCTTACCACGCAGCGCGCTCCAGTTCGTCGGAACTGCTGACTGAGCATCCTATGTGGTGCAATTTCCTTAAATTACTTTTTAACCTCCAGTTTTAGATTTTTCTTTCAAAAACACTCTATAACCTAAATTTTCACCCTTTTTTCCCAAAATTATTTTTAATTTCATCATCCACCTATTTTTCTTCATTTTTACATTAAATAAAAATTCAAAAATTAGAAGATTTTATTTATACATTAATTTTAATTACATTAAAATTAATTAGGGGTATTACATTCATCCTTCAAAAGTTTAACATTTTGATCTAAGGGAGTGATGAGATTTTTTTTCGTAGAACCCCTGCATCTTTCAAAAGGTCTAAGACATATTTCCTCTGGCATATATAAACCCCTCGATTTGATCTAGTAACTCAAATGCCAAGAAAATACTTTAAATTTCCTAAATCTTTAATTTTAAACTTATTATCCAATGTTATCTTTAGTTCTTCAATAATAGATTCATCATTACCTACCCCAATAATGTCTTCAACATATATAAAGTAGTATGGTAAAGCTCTTACCATTGGTCTTCATGAATAAAATGTAGTCGACCTTGCATTGCTTGATCCTTGTTGAGTAATAAACTCATAAAATTTGGCATATCATTGTCTGGATTCTTGCTTAAGCCCATACAAGCTTTTTTAGGAGTCTACATATTTTCTCTTCTCTCATTTTAGGATGCCCAGAAGGAAGCTCCGTGTACACTTTCTCATTTAAATCTTCATGTAAAAAGGTGTTGTTGACATCTAATTGTTGAAAGTGCCATCATCTGATTGTAGTTAGAGCCAACAATATTCTTACGGAGACGATTTTGGCCACAAGTGAAAATATCTCGTGATAATCTAAACCTTCTCTTTAAGTGAAACTCCTTAGCAACAAGTCTAGTTTTGTGTCTTTTAATGGTCCCATCTACTTTGGATTTCACTTTATAGACCCACTTGTATCCAATTACTCTCCTCCTTATCGGTAAATCAATTACTTTCTAAATCTTGTTTTCTTCAAGAGCTTGGAGTTCATTTTCCATGGCATTTCTCCAATTTGGGTCCTTGTTGGCCTCCTCATATAAACGTGGTTCATTATAAGATGCTACAACAAGTATGTATTTCTCGTTTCCCCCCATAAGTCTGCTATATGCAATTGTGCTTGATAGGGAAACGACACCACCATTGCGAACTTCTAGATCAAACAACTTTATACAATCGCTGTTCCCTTGAATCTGATCACATATATAGTCCTTTAAGTACTCTGGTGCCTTTTTTGTCCTTGTTAATTTTCTTCTTAGAATTTCGTCGTCATTCATATGGTCTTCTCTTCTTTCTCCTTCCTCATCAATCATTTCTTGATTGTTGGATACCTCTTCTATATGTGTGAGGTTCCTAATCTCCATATCTGGGCTATCTTAACCCATCACTTGGTTTCTAGTGTTGTCTTGTACAAAGGTGTTTGATTCTAGTTTGTCTATCAATATATTCCTACACTCATGTATAGTTTACATATCTTTTATACACTTCTTTTCTTTGCAATGAAATATTTTTTCATGAAATATTATATTTCTAGAAATAATAACCTCACTGGTATTTTCATCTAGCAATTTGTATCCCTTTGTACCAAAGAGATACCCTATGAGCACACATCTTCTCGCTCTTGCATTGAATTTTCATCTGCCACTCAATAGGATAAACGCGAAGGCTAAGCACCCAAATACTGTCAGGTGACTATAATTTGGTTTCTTTCTATGCAGGACCTTAAAAGGTGTTTTCCCACTTAACATAGAGGAGGGTGTTCTGTTAATTAGATATACAATGATAAGAACAAAATCGCTCCAATACTTGATGTCCATTCCACTTTGGAATTTTAACGCCCTTGTAGTATTGAGTATTTACTGATGTTTTCTCTCTACTTTTCCATTATCAGTTCTAGTCATTCTTATTTTTCTGTCAAATTAAGTCTTAACAAAAGTGCAAAAATATTGTAAATATGAACCTGTTTCAGCCTTATTTTCCATCATATATACCTAAATACATATATTAAAATCATCAACAATCATTAAGAAATATCTAAACCCATAATAAGAAATTTCATTATAAGGGCCCCAAATGTCACAATGTATTTGTTAAATCAAAACATTGTTCTACGTTATTACTGCTATCAGAAAATGAAAGTTTATGCATTTTTGCCAATGGGCATACATAACATAACTTAGAGTTTTTATTTGCTAATATATCAAAATTAAAACTAGAGTTGAATGAAGGGTGCCCAAGTCTATAGTGCCACATATCAAAGTTTTTCTCCTCTTTGTTGGAGCTTTATAGTGTCATTCCTGCAAATATTTGTTGATTTTGAATCTTTGGGTTGTCTAAGCTGGTATTGTTCGTCCTTAATCTCGCCCATCCCAGGTGTCTTCCAGGTCAAAAGGTCCTGGATGACACAATGTTGTTGTAAGAAAATTAGACAACATCTAATATCCTGTGTTATCTTTCTTGCAGATATTAAATTAAATCTAAATGAAGACACACATAACACTTTTTTTAATATAAGCTTATCACTTAATTTTATTACCCCTACATGATATACATCTACATTTTCTCCATTTGGTAATACAACTTTAGATCTAACATTTATCTCAGTATATAATTGTGGTGTGTGTATTATGTGATATGAGGCCCCAATATCAATTACCCAAGTTGTGTATGTGTGTTAATATTTTTATCTATTATGCATACATTAAAACAAAAAAATATACCAGAGAATATGGTGAGTTTTTGATCCTGAGTTTGCTCTGAAGTTGCTTGTACCATATTGATTAGTAGCTTGACTTCATTGAATGAAGGCCATAAGTTGGTGCAGTTGATCATTTGTCAATAAATTGTGCTATTCTCCTTTGAGTTCAGTTTGTGCATCAATAAAAGATACTTGATTGATGGTGGGTTTTCTGATCTTGTTTTGAGTCTTTTGTCCTTTTACTTGGTTCTTATCTTTATAGCATACCTCAACTGTATGTCCTCACATATTGCAATTGGTGCATACAAGTCTATTTGGGTTGACCTTAAAACATCTTTCTAACTACTGTCCAGTCTTCTTGCAATAATTACAATAATACTTTTTCTTGTTCGGATTGTCAATTATTTGTAGTTTGTTGGCCTCTTTTATACAAAAAGTCATGGCCCGGTTAGTGACAGATTTCCAAAAAAAATTCTCATTTTCTCCTCTTATTGGATGATAGAAAATGTTTCATTCAAACTAGAAAGATGCTTCATTGCCAAGATTTACGACGTTAAGTTGCTATATGACTCACTAAGTCCCATTAAAAATCTCACTGTATGATCCCTCTCTTGGTACCCAATAATCGATTTAAGTCACCCACATGTGCAGTTGGGAATGGGTTCATAATTTATGAGTTCATCAATTAGAAATTTGAGTTTTGAAAAGTAATCTCATACTAGCTCTTGGTTTTACGTGAGTGCAGATATCGACTGCTTAGTTTGATACACCCTAGTTACATTTTATTTAGCATGTCTTTGTCTAGTTCATATCATAGTTGATGTGCTGTTTGAGCATAAAATGTGTCGGTCTTAATATTAGGTGAAAGTGCATTCTGTATCTAGATAATCACCATATCATTGCACCGTTTCTAGTGTGTTCTCAATGGACTTGCTGGGTCCGTAGGTTATGTTAGGTTTCCATCTATAAACCCTATTTTGTTCTGTATATTCAATGCATGTTTCATGAAAATTGCCCATGTGTAGTAGTTGCTATCATTTAACAGTTCTGAGACAAGAACCGCCATAAAATTCAATGACTTATCAAGATAATAAGGGTTGTTGACATTTGAAGCGTCCAGGTTTGTTATGGCCAAATCGCTTAAGTTTTAGTTCGGGTTTGTAGTAGTTTGGTTAGAATTTTGACTTTCCATTCTTAATATACTCTGATACCGTGAAAGAAAACGAAGTTCATCGATTAAGCTATCCAAAACTAATATTTTTATATAAAAAAAATGTGTAACAGTTCAAAAATTAATTAAATTTAAAAATAATTTATTTAAAAATTAGAACATTTTTTAGAAGATTAAAATCAATTAGGAAAATATTTTTAAATATGTATATCAAAATAATTAGGAAATATTAGTAGAATAAATTAAATTTTAAAAAATAATTAGGAAATATTACAATAAAGCAATAAAATTAAATTAGAAGAAAGTTAGAAAATTAATTAACTTAAAAATTGCTTAAAAAATATTAAATTTTGTAATTTAATTAAACTAAATATTGTAAAATAAATATAAGAACAAAAAAAAAAGAAAAAAAATAAACTAGAATTAAAAATTCACAATAATGAAAAGGACCAATCAAATAAGAGAGGGTGCATGTGAGATTAAAACATGAAAAAATTAGGAAATGGGATAAGGGTGATCACATGGCCACCATGTACATGGATGGGAAGATTCCTTCCCACTCCTACGTTGCCACCTAATCTAAACCTCATCATCTTATCCCTTCCTCCATCATATAAATACCAAACAAAATAATTTTTCCTCCTCTTTTAATCCACCAAATAAAAGAAAAATAAGAGAAGAAAGGAAGAATAGGGAGTAGAAGGACAGAAGAGAAGGGAAGAAGAGAAGGGAAGAAGAGAGTGAGGAAGCATTGGGACGATCGGCGTGACGGAGGGAAAAAGAAGGTTGAGAGGGGACACCGCAGGTGGCCTAACTACCGTGTGATCACTCCTCTTAGCGTAGGTTCTTCTTCCGAATGATCCAAACGTGAGTTTTTTTTTTTTTTTTTTTTTTTTGTGATTCTCTTCCTAAATAGTTTAAAATAATATAAGTTATGCTTAAACTAAATACATTTTAAGTTAGCTTGATTTTAAGTAAGAAACTTGAACTTAAATAGAGATTTAGTGAGAGTAGTTTAGTGTAGGGAAAGGGTGGTAAAAATTAAGTTATATCCATCGATATATATATATTTATCTAGGATATATATATATATGGTGTATATATATGTATACATGTTATGCATATGAGATATACATATATAAATTATAATGAATATGTGAAAATATATATATTTGCATGAATTTGATATAAATGTACGAAGGAAACAAAAAAAAATATGTATGTAAATATATAGATACATTGTGTATGTTTATTTTTCATGTGTGTATGTATAAATATATATATATACACATAATTATGTATAAATTAATACATATATGGGTATATATGATTAAAATAATATTTTGTATGCATGTATAATCCTTATGTTTTAACAAGTATTTATATATGTAAACAGTAATGCATGAAGATATATATATATATGTTTAAATAATAATAAACTTTATAATTATAGTCCTAAAATTTAGAATATGGTGTAAGTTACAAGAATAGAAAAATATGATAAATGAATAAATTTAGAAAAAAAAATGTGTACTAAATATGTATATAAGTATGCACGGTGCATTCGTGTTTAATATAATAATATATGTAGGTATAATTTTTACATATAGAAATGGATTTTAATAAAGATAAGTATGATTAACACTCAATAATATAAATGGTACTAAAGGGAGAATTTTTTAAGTAATGTTATAAGTTTTATAATTGTAATTTTATAATTATATCCTATAATATAAATTTTAAGAAAAAATAAAATAATATGATATATATATATATGTACATAATAAGTGAGTATGTATTGTGTACATATAAATATATAAGCAGATGTATGTGTGTGTGTGTATATATATGGGAGGATAAATAAATTAAAATTCAATGAAGAATGAGGCAAATTATGATAGTTAGGAGAGTTGAATTTAATTGAATATGAAATTAAGGAGAATTGAATTTGATTGAATAAATAATTAATAAGAATTAAATTTGATTGGATAGGTAATTGATAAGTAGATTAATTTAGCCATAATCTATAATACTTAGGTAAAGGTAATTCAAAACATTAAAAGGAATAAATTTTGGAAATCATTTTGATTTAATAAATATGTAAATAAATTAATAAATTTTGTTTTGAATATAATAGATGATATAAGAAAATAAATTAAGAAAATAAATTAAGAAAATAGAAAAAGAATATTTGTAATAATTTTTTTTAGAATGGAATGAATAATAGATAAAATAAATTAAAAAGAAATTATTAATTAATTAAAGTAAAATTAATATAAAATGATAAGAAAGTATTATTTACTAAATTATATAATTAATCAAATAGATAAAACAAATAAAAGTTAAATTGAATGATCGCTTCAGTAACAAGAATAGTTGTAGAAACAAGAATGGTTGTAGAAATGAGATAGACATGCAATATGATTGCATGAAACTTGGGTTCACCACTGACCCAAGAAGACTTAATTACTATGCAAGTTTTTGTTAATATGTGGATGGTATTTGAAACTCAAATCAGAATCCTTTAGCTTTGAAGTTTGTAAGTATATCTAGTAGCTATCCTGAACTTATATTTGCATGCTTTCAAAAATGTTTTGAAGCAAAAAATTTAATTAAGTTTTGAGTAAGGTTTATACAATTAAGGAATCGGGATTGATAAGTAATAAGTGAAAGAAATTGAAAAATAGTGATATTGAATGTTTTAATTTGTCATTTATTTGTTGCTTGATTGTTAAATGAAGATTGCATGTTTTAAATACTGTATGATGGTTGATGGTATGATGAGTTGAATAGTATTAATAGAATATTAATAATAGTGCATATTCAACAATAAGATCATAAATACATAAAATAATTCTCATAAATAAAATAAGATCAACAAAAAAAAAAATACACATTCTTAAATAAAATTAGGAATTTTAAATAAAACCAGTAAAATTAAAAACTAAAAATAATATAAACATTAAAACATAAATAACAAACAAAATGATGACTGAATAAATTACAATAAACATGAAAGTGTAGGATTAAGAGTTAGTGAGTTTTTTAAAGATAGAAAAGAGACAAACTGAGAGACTTAAAATAGTATGAGATATAGAGTAAGATTACTACGAAAGTGTATAAAGTTTCTAGGGAATATAATTAGTTTGTTAGAAAAAATAAAAATATCAATCTTAACTGAGGGAAAAAAAACAATAAAAAAGAAACGAAAATTTAGAGTTAACCCGTTTAAGATTGGTATGATTGAAATTGTAACGGCTTTGGAAATAACCAAAGAAAATGTATAATAACTTAAGTACGAAAGTGAAATAAAAGGTTAAAGTTTTCATTCCTTATACAATAACTTAAAAATACTAAATAACATTACGGAATTTATTCTTTGAAAGAAACACGAGAAATAAGGAAACAAATGGAAAACAGAAAATATTTAGTATCTACTCGTAATTTTCTTGTGGATTTGACTTTGAAACCTGGTTCTCTTGATCTGAAATGGTTAAATAAAGAATGAGTTACAATAACCCAGTAAGGATATCGCATTATATCACCGACATAGAAGTAAATGATAGTATAAAATCGAAAACCACTAATGTAGCATTAAATTTAATAAATTTATTTATCAATCATAAAATTATTTCTCATTCACTTACCATAGTAAAATTTAAGAAAACGACCTGTAAGAAAAATAATATCATACAGATCAACATTTCATGCTTGATCAACCATCATAGTACATATTATAAATCTATATCTATTATCAATAAATCCAACAATAACTACCATTCTTTTCACTAGCCTGCTGGTATCCATGGGGGTTCATAGGGATGCCTTCGCAACACGTGAACCCTTTCATTTAATCATTCTTAATTATGGGTTGTCCCCATACCCCGTCAGGTATGAGCGCCAATCTACGAAACCTCAATACCCCGTCTGGTATGAGGGTGAAGCGGGCCATCAAATTATCAAGTTTTCATACCCCGTCCTGTATGAGACAACGTTTACGGTAGGGTTTCTTATGTATCCGATTCGTCCACTATCTCTCAAGATATCTAGTAAGACTGACGTTTCATCTAATCATTTAATCACATAATTTTTTTTACCGTTTAAACTTCATTTTTTCTCGATTCAGCAGTAAACACATAAAATAAACCATACATGCGTTCAAAGCCATATATGAATAATAAGATACCATCATGCAGGTAAACTGTAAAAACAATCAATAACGGCAGTAGATAAATTTCGGTTCCGACTCCATTAGCAACTTGTAATTAATTATGCATAATTATTAAAATTGCACAAATACCACATCATTATTTATTTAAACTTTAGTTTTATGATAGAGAATAAGTGAGGGATCCTTACTCGATTTACGCCTGAAAGCTAAACTGTTTACTGTGCTTATGAGCGGTCACTAGTTCTCTGAA